TGACAGTTTTAAACTCGCTTGCCAAGAGGTGATGCACGCATGCTGCACTTGATGGTAAATAGTAGCTTCAGATGCCTATTCCTGTCAGATCTGCTTTCTGTGAATCCCATTCTCTGGCCATTCAACTGTATGTTTTCCCTTTCCGTTTTTTTTTTCTCCTTTCCTTCTCTTTTCTAATCCAAGTGTGTTATTTCTCTCAAAGAAGATTATTTTTGGCACAAGAGACGAATTAAGCTTGTCTCGTAAGGCCTTTGTTTAAATTTCCTATTTATTAGCATTATTCACGCTGTATTCCTTCCCGTCACCAACCTAGTGAATAGGAGCCATACCTTGATCATATTTAAAGTTATCTGCAACAAGCATGATTTCTGCAATGAACATGATACCTTTGGGTGAGAAGAGAGGGAAGAGCTAAGAGAAAAGCGTGGCCCTGCGCACGTACAGGACTTCTTGTCTGATGACAATGTTTGTCAGAGGATGTTCTTCAAGGCTCAGTTACCCTCTTGAAATTTCTGTTAGAACCCATCACAAACCATATGAGAAGTTCTCAGTTCACAAGTCTTCTAGCATTTGGGGGTGGGTCTAAGTAACCCTTACAGACATCTGAATTTTATTCTGGGATGTTTCAGTATGTGCCTGCCAAATTCAGATACTCTGGAGCATTCAGGAATTAGCGAAGTAGCAAGGTGGGAGGCTCCACAGTTCCTCGGGTCTCTGCAAGGCAGAGTTTCCAGTGCAACTGGCAGTGACCCCGTTTGTGGCTCATTGTCCAGCAGCTATCAGAACTCAATTGTATGGGATGAAGAGAATGCTAAGGCAATGTATTTATTCTTGTTCAGGGGACTTGCAGGACACCCATATGGTGTTTTCTTTGCGCTCTCAGAAGGCACTTACACCTGGACTGTGCCCCTGGATTGGCTAAACAGTGCAACGGTGCACGTTTTGGGCTGAGAACACCCAAACTCTCTCACCAATTTAGTAAATGTCATGCGTTGTTTTCTTTTCTCATAATGTCACTAGTTACTTCTTTTTTTTCCCTGTGAAAACTTATCCCCCATATGTTAGAAACGAAACTTTGTTTTTCATTACTTGTCTATTCCTGACTCTTCTCTCATTGCTCTTTGCAACACACATGTTAAAGTTTTCCCTTTGTTACACTTTATTGCTAGAGGACAGTCTTGAAAGAGTCATTCTTTGAGATGTCGAGCTTGCTGGAGCCAGGGTGTATTATTATTACCACCGCATGCAGAAAAGAAAATTACTTCTATTTGGAGAACAAGAAATTCAGGTGTATAATTATAATAGATCCCTGCTCACTCATCTACATTTCCTGCAGAGCTGGGGGTACAGTTTGCATTCTTTTCTGCTAATTTCTTTTAAAAATTATTTGCCGTTTGAAGATACCTGGGATCACTGTATGCAGAGTCAGGCACAGAAATACGGGCTGTACTGTTGAGGAGGCTTATCTCTTCTGAATTGATGGGAATGGTAGACCTATGGAAGTTCTGGCCAGCCATATCATGGGAGCACAGATCCAAGTATGGGACTCCTGTAGCATTATTCTGAGAATAGGAATAGCACATAATACCCTTGCTTTTAACAATGACCTTACCATACTTCGCAATGAAATCAATGACATTGGCACAACTCTAATAGTCAATTATGTTTGATTTCATCCTCTCTGTGTGTCTGATTTGTTATTGATTTTCAGGGATGAATTATTGCCATTGCTCCTTTCTTTTTGCTGAGAAAAGAGGAAAAATGAAGCATTTGTTTTTCTTATGTCACAAGTTTGAAAGTTGTTTTTTTTAGTAATTGTTATATATTCATATGCCATCTGTTTTCTGTTTTCTTTCATGACTTTCTTTAATTTCAGATCCTTGTAATGCATGCACTTGAGAAGTTGGATATAGAGAAATGTTTACATACCCAAATAAAGGTTACCAGTCACATCTCTGTATGGCACTTAAAAGCAATAAGTCAATTCTACAAATCTTAAAGATAATTATAATTTTTTAAGCTTCATCCATTCCATCAACTACATCTGCATTTCCTTCATCTTCTTAAATCAAGAAGTACCTCAGACTTTGATGATCCAAAATATATATTGGGAAAAGATCTTTCTATACATTTATTTACCTCGGTAACTGCTAGCAGTCACAGCCAGAAAAGAGCAACTGGATAAAATGGACCTTTGCTCTAAGCCACTATGGCCACTCTTATTTTCTGATTTTTTCTTAGTATTATTCTTCTTTATGGCCAAATTTATTGCATGTGCTGCTTACAACTGCCTTCCTGAGATGTTCTGCTCCAGCTCCGTTGCCCCTCCTACTTGGTATTTATAAGACTCAACTAACTTCCTTTTAGCCAAAATTCTGTTTATGTTCCAGCCTTACCCCTTTAAGGATCTTTTCTTTTTTATTTGGGATTTTTAGGTACTACCAGAAAAGAAGCTTATTTACTAAGTCTTTTAAATAGTTAATAAAAGGTGTTGGGTTTAAAGATGAACTCTTTAGAGCTATCCAGTTCAACTGCTTCTAAAACATTCATTTTAACACAGATGTCTATGCAAAGACAAGATTAAATTTATACTCTTTTTTTTTTTTTTGCTTGGCTTGGCTTTCTTAGTCATTTAAATTTACAAGTGTTTATCACACAGTTTTACCAGAATGTCCTTATCTTTCTTCTTCACCAAGAAGTACCTTTAAATGATAAAATCCTGTAGTTTGTGGATATTATGTGAAGGATACGTTTGTAACAGAAGGTTACGATAGCTGTAGATTGGAGAGCTAGCCATTTAGTTTACGATATCTCATACACCGTGTGGAGTGTTTGTATTGTTGAAGACGAGAAAAAGGGGGTAGTCCTTGTGATTAGCCAAATTACTACTGAGTCAGAAGTTTCTGTTATTTACTGCCATGAAGGTCAGGAGTGTTGATCTGCAGTGCTCTTGTCACAGAATAAACATTTAAACATGTCAGCTATAGTTTCAGACAGCCATGGGATGTTGGGTCCCAAACACACGAGTATCAAACACAACGTCCCGCTTTATGCTCCATCCCTCATTAAATGCTTTAGGATTTAATGAAATCACATGCAGTATCTGGCATAACAGCACAGCTTGTTCTTATGGATTTATGTGCTAGAGAGAAGCAAACAAAATTATACTATCAGTGAATTATCTACCATTAGTTTGTCTAGAAGGCTCTTCACAAGCTGTTCTTTTCACTCTTGCTTGTTGCAATAATAAATTTTTTTTAATCTCTGACATTATTTTCTTTTTATGTGGTTCACGAACAAAACAACTCAGAACAAATCTTGCAAGGTTATCAGTTCTTTCTTTGCTTAGCCTGTAGTTCAGTTTTATCTTTTCCCAGAAAGATCAAACTTGTTGAGACTAGTTTGTTAATTCCCAGATGTAGGACAGCCTAATCCCTGAGGTTTGTGCAGGAATGTGCTAGTTCTCCGTTCCCTTAATTCTTCTAATGAAAAAGAAATGTATCCAGTGTCATCTCAGTGAAAACCAATGGTTGTTCTTTACAGTCATCTGTAAATGCTGAAAAAGAGACAACCCTCTACAAGATGAGCTCTTTGGAATACTTGCCATTTTTTTCCCACGTATTTGTGTGGTTCCTTGCTGCAGTATGGCTCTAGGCACAACCACAATGTCAATACAGTTCATGTGTTGTTTTTCTTATTTAGTGTGTGCATGCAATTACATCGCCCTGCAGGTTAGGAACCAAAATATAGCGCACATCAGCGATTTCAAATTGGTCCTGAGCGTTTTGAAGAACAGCTGCTCTGCTGTTCAAAGAATACTGAGGAGCCCTTCAGGAGAAGGAAAACTCCTAAATGGTTACAGCGCATGATCTAGTTCGTCAAGCTATTTTTAATGTAAAACTGGAAACTGCTTTCTTCCTAATGTAAAATGGGTATCAGACTCCTGATCTAAATAAGAAAGGCCCAGCAAAGATTTAATTAAATGCTAACAGAATACTTTGGGGCTTCAGTGGTAAAAAGCAGTACAACTAAATATAAGTTAATTGCCAACTTTGTTAAATAAAGCTGCAAGATGTATAAAAATAATAAGCAAAAATAGATACTGTCCTATTGTTTTCTTTTAAGTGTTATTGTCTATTACTAGAGGCTAGATCATTTTTGGAAGAAATCTTAATAATGGAAATTCTCCTTAATATGTCCAAAATCAAGAGGCGGTATTGAGTTTTACAAGACTCAGAGGATATCAGGTTTATAAAACTCTATCTGGACTGTTGGATTAGGCTTTTAAGATACTGCTTATCACTATAGAGATTAATACTAGGGATACTTTTTCTTAGGAAAAAATAGTTGGTATCTCTAGAAGTCAAAAGAAAAACAGGTCCTTTCAAATTAAAATAATTCAGAACATCTCTTCAGTTTGCCTTTTCTGTTTTAAGTAATGGAAAGCTGCTATAGCTCCATTACACAGAAGTTGCCAACAGTTCACAATATATTTTAATTCCAACTTTGTTCTAACCCCCATTTTATCAGTTGCTGGATATGAAACTTCCCATATTTAGTCTAAAATAAAAGATGTTACTTTTGGGAGGGGAGGGAATAGCTTCAAGCCAGTTCATTTCAATCAGTTTTTAATTATTCTAGCATGATAAGTATTTCTGCCTCTACGTATGTAAAAATTTTATAATTTGAAACAACTGGAACTAGCTTGGCTTGTGGCCTGATCTTGCAATTGCTTATGCACCAAATCTGTCTCACTACTTCTTTGGGACTGTTCACATGTGTTAGAATTAATGAGATTGAGTTCTTGTTCTGTCATTCTCAAAGAAATCTCCTAAGGTACAAGCCAAGTTTGTAGCCAACTGGTTTACTGTGTTTAAATATTTAAAATTAAAAATATTTTAAATTATCATACGTAGTTTTAGATGGGTTAGCCTTCAAACTGGCACAGTTCCCCTGTTAGTATTTATTATTTCTGTTCCGGCAGTACCTGGCAACGTTTGCCAAACTGTTGTGGTGCTAGGTGCACAACAAGCACTCCAAATGATGGACTGCTCCAAAGAAGAATTAACACTTCTTGTCATTTCACCAGTTTATGTTTGCTGAGGATCCTAGCATCATAGAGGTTGGGCAGACCTCTGAAGGTGTCTAGTCGAACACCCTGCTGAAGCACAGCCAGTTTAGGTCAGATTGCTCAGGACTTTGTCCAGCCAAGTTTTGAATCTCTGAGGACAGAGACTGCATGACCTCTGGGCAGATGTTCTGCTGCTTCATCAACCGTGTGGTGAAAAAGATGGTCCTAGTACTGGAATTCCTCGTGTTCCAGCTTGTGCCTCTTGTCTCTAGCCCTATCCCTTGTGCACCTTCAGAAGTCTGGCTCCATCGTCTCCATTGCTGTTGGCAGCAATTGGATCTCCCCTTAGCCTTGTGTTCTTTGGGGTCAACAAGTCTGCTTCTCCCAGGCTTTTCTTCTGTGTCCTGGTCACGGGCCCCCTGACTGTCTCGATAGCCTTCCACTGTTGTGTGCTGTAGCAGATCAGTGTCTTACTTGTGCCAGAGGTGCCAAAACTAGATCCCTTGGTGCAGATTTGGTCTCACAAATGCCAAGCAGAGGATCCAGAACATCACCCTGAAAGTGGCTGTGTAAGCCGTAGTCTGACCCAAAAGCACCACGGCTAGGAACGCTTGGCAAAGGTTCGTATCATAGTTTCATTCTCAGTTTTAGCCAGTGTAAACTAGTACTGCTGGGGAGAGGAGTTGATTTTTTTGTGTTGGCTTTTGGGGGTGGTGTGGGATTGGAGGTGGTGTTAATTTTAACACAGATCTGCCTTGCAATCCAATTTGTTTCCTGGCCACACAAATGGCTTTTCTGGCACTAGGGAATGGGCCATGTGGACAGGAGTGGAAGGCAAAAAAGCAGGGCAATTTTTTTTCTGTAGCAGTGCTGGTTTGTGTCAACTTACTGTGCTTGAACTCCACAGTCTCAGGAGACATGGAGAGTTGACTAAGGTGAGTGAGGATTATGGCCAAGAACCTTAATATCAGTGAAATTAAAAGCTTCAGTTAAGTTTCCCTTCCACTTTTGCAAACAAAATTAAGAAAATTCTGTGTATATTAATTATATAATATCCATCATAGGTTTATTCTGACAGCAGTTTCATGGAATGTCCTCTTGCTTTAATAGGTCCACTTAACTGAGGAGTTTTATGAGACTAACAGCAGAAAAATAAAATTCTTAATTTGCTGCTCTTTTGTACAGTACTATGGCAAATGTCCACATTGGTCTTTTAGTATTGTTATTTAATTTTTTCTTTACATAACCATTAGTTATTTCCTTCAATTGTACCACAGTTTGTTTTTTAAATAAGATTCTACTGAAGGGAGGAACTTAAAAACTCACCACAGTATTTAACATCAGTTGACATTTACCGCAATCTCTAATTATTGGCACAGAATCTGTCTGGCTTCTGCTGCTTTTATGGTTCTTCCAGCTTGTTCCAGTGTTTTTTAGTTTTACCATCCTGCTGTAGATGAGTTAGATGATAGTGGTTTCAAGCAGTTGAAGATCTCCTTTTATACAGACTCTGTCTGTTCAAAATAGTTTTGTTTATTGGTATAAGCAGTGTAAAGATGAAAACAAAGATTTCTGCAAAACCTTTCACATATCAGTCTCAGAAAAATTCATTGACTACCCAGGCAAAAGACCCTGTTGACTTGGGACACAGCAAGCTGAAAGAGGGGTACAGCACTAGCGCTAAGCACACGGCATGTGTGTTTCGTTAAGAAGAATATTGTATTTCAATTTACTATGCTCTTGAGCTCTCAGAAGTGTAAATACCAGGTAAATAAACCCAAATTAGGTTTACTGTTTCTTTGCCAAAACCAAATTCACTTTTAGCCTGGAGACTTTGCAACATAGGTAAAATGTTTGGAATTATTGCCCTTCATGAAGTACGCTGGAAATTCAGTTAGCCAGTTTCAGGCAAGTATTTGTGTTCATCCGTTTTTATTCTTGTAACATGATGTGCTACATGTTCTGAACACAGGAATGAATAGGTCCTGCTCCAGAGATCTTGAAATTCCTGAAGAGACATAGACTCTTTTGGCATTTGAATATTAGAACAGAGTATGTGTGTATATATATATATATGTATAAAAATACTATTTATTATCTATGCTTAGTTACTCCAAAACCATTATTGGTGTATGGAATCCTCGCAGACATTGCAAGCAGGTACATTCCAAAGGTTCTGTGAGATACTTTTTGAAAAAAAATTTCTTATTGGAAAATATTTCTATAATTGTTTTAATTTGCTTAAATAGTTTGTGCTGCAAAAGAAGTTTGAGCAGCATGGTGACATGCCAAAGAGAAAATTGGATAGCTTTAGTTGCCTTCTTATAATTTAAAGCTTACTATATTCTTGTCTGGGATCAGTGTGGTTAAAAAAGTAGTTTTAAACTGCCTGTACGTGTTAACCACACCTTGCTCCTGCGGTGCCCAAGCATACCCACCAAGGCCTGCCGTGCCAGAGCCTGCCTGTACCGCTCCGAGCAGCAACGCCGGTAACCATTTGTGCGTTTGCCTCAGTAGGGGCTGCAGAGCGTGGTCCTGTGCGTGTGAAAATTAAAAGCACTAAGCACTCGTCAAGTGACACGGTAAACTGCAGGGAGTGTGTTGGCAGGATCTGGCCCTTTCGGAGCCTAAGGGTGGCTGCTCCCTCCTGGGTCGGGCTGAAGCGCAGGAAATGACAGTGGCGAGGAGCAGCGGGCGCTGACTCACGGCTGAGGGCGGTTTACTTTGGGATGGCTGTAGTAGTTCCTGTCCCCAGCTGGCTGCCCTCCCTCCCTTTTTCTGCAGGCATGGCCTGTGCGTCGTGGAACAGTTGTTTAATCTCGACAGTTTACAGTCCGTTCTATCAGGAAGTATGTGCACTGAATTCAGGTTTCGGTAAGGCAGAGGCAGGTAGTCTGAAATGTTTCAGCAGCTGGTCCCCAAGAAGCTGAGCTGCCCGTGCAGAGGTCAGGAAGTGTAGCTGGTGAATAGGTTCCAAAGCAAGTTTTCCACTGCGAATAAGCCCTAAGAGTATGGAAGCTATGCCCAGTTACTAGGTGGTTATCTGAAAATACTTCAGACTGCGTTTTTCAGGATCCAGCAGCAGCCTTGCACTGCAAGATAAAGTAGGACTTCCCTCTTCTTGGGCAAGCAGGACAAGATTTAGTAAAGACAGCGAAATATAATATGCCTGTTTACTTACAGCTGAAGGCATACTGCAGGAGGACTGCCTGCTAAACTGTTTCAGACAAACACACTGTGTTTTCTTTTCCCTTTCTTCCTGTTTCATTCTTGCTCTCTTCCCTGCCAAGAGAAAAAGTACATGACATTTGACAGTGCTATGCCATCAAGAAAATGTATGAAGTGGTGAAAAGGAGGCTTGATTCTGGAGCCTTCATTGCAGATTTTTGGGAAATTTTGCTCTTAGTTGGGTGGAACTAGAAGAGATTAATTTTAAGAGCCAACTGGGAGAAGTTGACTTAAGGTCACCATCTGTTAGAAGAAGAGTTTATCTGTGTTTGTACAGGGCAAATAAGGAATAGCCTCAGTCTTGACAGAGGCCTATGAACATGGCCATAACACAGATATGTAAGAATCGTGTAACAGGCCTTTGCCCAAAGACGGCTTCGGATAACTTTTAGGTATTCTTCTCTAAAAATATATATTAAAGTAAACAAAGCGGTCAAAGTTGAGCAATTATTTTTTGCTTTGAAGAGCTTTTCCCTTGTGATTTCCCTCTAGCTGAACACTGAGAATTTAGAAAAAAATCTTAAAAGTTTCTCACTTAGGGATAAATAACCCCCAACTGAGTGACTGAGTTGCCATGTAGCATTTTTCACATTAGATCACAACATGCTTTTACCAAGGCTGCGTTATTGTGTCCATTTCACAGATGAAGAAACTGAGGCATATGGGAGAAATGTGATCTTACTAAAAGGGTTGCATGCGAGGCAAGTTGTAGGAGCTGGAACAGAACCCGTGCCTTCTGTGTCTCTGCTGTCCGTTAGTCTGCTGTGCCTGAAGTATGCGCTGATTTCAAACAAGGAGCAAGGCATAGCTGAATATCAGCGTAGGAAGTGGTTTCATGATCGTCCTATAATACACATTTTAAAAAGATATTAAATACTGTTTTCAAATGCAACTGTTGTCCAAAAATGAATGCTGTCAGATTATGATTTTCATTTGCGTGGGTTATTTTCCAGGCAGAAATTTTAACGGGCATCCCAGTTGGCAACCTTGAAGATGCTGAAAAGGTGGGACGCATGCTGTTAGAAAGAGGGTGTAAGCTCGTAATTGTTACTCTTGGAGCAGAAGGCTGCATGATGATATCAGTAGAAGAACCCATTCCAAAGCACGTTCCTGCTGGGAAGGTCAGGGCTGTGGACACTACGGTACGTTTTTGTGGTTTAACTGTCTTGCTTTGGAAAAGACTGCTTAAGCACTAAGGGAAAGCAATGAGTAATCAGCCAAATCTTTGGGCACTAGCACAAAGGCTAATTTATGATGTGAAATTGATATCTTGCTTCCAGCCTCTCACATATTAAATGTCAGTTCACTTGAATTTTATAGTCTGTATTGTAGATGTGCTACAATTATTATAATACTGATAGTATCTTCACGTTCCTCCTCTACTGCAGTCAGTACCTGTCTTGGACTGTAATGTGCGATGCCAGTGGCTTCAACTGCAGGCCTGTTTTTTCACCTTTGCCCAGTCAAATAATTCATCTTCTCCAGAACTCAAATGCTGTGAAAGAGATACTATTGCCCTCACAGTCTGAAACTGAATGTTTGGTTTTTCTGACACAAGCATGAATTGCTTACCAAGTCTAGCAAAATGTAGTGGGAAAAACCCCAAAACGTTCTTGCTGCTTCATGACGACGATTTTATGATGATAGGTAAGGGATACTTGGTCAGAGGCCTTATAGTCTCTGACATGAGGGTATTTTTTTTTTACTTCCTGCTCAGAATTAAATGCAGAAAGCATACTCTAACAGACCACTAAATACAATATCCCCAGCAAAAAATAAAAACAGGACAGGCAATAGTTAAGACGGCATTGCTATGAAAACCTTACCACATTGCACATATGGGGCTATTTTGTGTTCCTAGTATTATCTGACATAAATCCAAAATAATTCCAGTGGAGTTACTGAGAGCAGAGCAGGTCACGTTGTATGTACTAACTATACATTTAAATGCCTGTTATAATAACGTCATATTACATATGTTCTGTTACAATAGTTCATTAAAATCCTGGAGATTTTACCATCTGGTGCATTCCATATCTGAATTTCATTAATAATAACTAGTTCTTGTAGCATGGTTTTTATCCATGGACCTAATACTGCTTTGCAAAGAAGGAAAGCAACTGCTTAAAAGATGGGGAAACAGAGGCATAAGGGACTGAAATTACCTAGCTCAGCAGCCTGCAGCGGCAGAGCTACAAGTAAAGTCACTTATTCTAAAGCAGACGATCACTCATAGATTTGGACTGTGATGTGCTGGTGCTGTGGAAGGCTTTGTTTCACTGTTAAATTTAATCCTTTTCAATTTAACTCTGAAACAGGGATACTTTGGCTTTGTTTTCCTCCTTCACCCCTTTGTCACTTAGAGGTTTGACCTCGAGTTAATGCTGACTTTGGAATGTCCTGAAGTTCAGGTTAAGGGAGGCATCACTGTACTGCGCAAAAGGTACTTGGTTGGGGACTACAGACACTGAACTGCCTCTGCCTGCTTTTTGCCCCGAATTACAAGTGCCAAGGGAGTGAACGGCAGAGGTCCCAAAGCTGCCCAGAAACAGAATTTATTAGCTTGGGAGCAACACCTCATGAGCCTGGCATTACAGCTTCTTGCTCTGAGCTGGTAAACCCACTATTGCTATCAAAGCTTATTGTCAGAGTTTTTCTTTGCATCACGCAGAAGTGGTGAAGAAGAAACATGTGTGATCTTCTTCAAAAGAAGCAGAAAATTGCTGCCAGATCAGCTATTGTTTGATACCTTAAGATATTTGCTGCTCTTAGGATAAAACAGCAATACTGAAACCACACAGTCGCTGAAAAGTGCTTTTTATCTTGCCTAGCATTTCAGGGTTTCAGGACTGAACTAATTCAACGCTCCTTTTTTTTTTTTTTAATAAAAGCAATTTCTTTGAGTTTACTGAATCCTTGCCCTGCCTCCTTGTGGCCAGCAGGTTATTGGCTTTCGCATAGCCGAGGATTTTCACAGTTAATTTTGTTAATCTACTTAAATACCAGTGGGTTGTTTTCAGTAAAGCAGCTGTGCTCGGTTTACTCTTGCAGACTGAATGAAAAAAGATGTGTTGGCCTTCCATTATAAAAGTCTTACTGTGCTTAGCCTGATTATCACTTTGCCGGAAAGCAAGTGGTTTTAAAGCAACCCTTCCAAACACAAAGCAAAATAATAATAATCCTCAACTAACCTGGATAGCTCTATTACTAAAGTAAATACTAAACATTCTAGCAGGACATGTTACTCTCTTCAGATGCTCATCTGAAGTGGGTCCTTCCCCAGGGGAATAAGCTCAAGCTGAAAGGTGGATTAGCAAGTAGCCACCTATCCACTGAGTATTCAGAGCTGTCCTTGTGCGTGCTCTTAGCACGCCATTTAATACCAAACAAAAGTTGGTACGTTAAACTGCCCTGACTTCAACATCTTGAGAAACCAGGTAGTGATTTTTTAAGCTGCCAGAAACCAATCACATCTAGCTACGTGCCTGTATCCATATTGACATTGTTTGGTTCTGCAGGAGGTAAAGTTACTGCCGAAGAGTTAAATGATGTATATAACCCAGCAGAAGGTTTTCAAAAGGTTACAGAACCCTTATGAAAACAGTCTGTATTAAAGCAGAGTTTGCCATTTATTACATATAAGGTACAAAATGAGCTTCAAAGGCCTCTTCAGTGTAGAAATTTTTCCATGGCCGTTACCACTGTACAGAGCCCTCTCTGCAGCACTCCAGCTTCAGTCCTACCACCTGGGCACTTGTGTTGGCCACAGCCATGTTGAAAATTGTTGACAAGAAAATATTTGGGTATGTACAGCCACAGAGGTTAAGAACTTGAGCTCCCTGTCAAAGGTGGTGTGCTCCCCATTCTCCATGTTCACAGGTTCATCAGGGAGACTAAGGGTTGATAGACCGTAGAGCCTGGCTCTTCCTCCTAGCCCTTGAGATGGTTAATCTAAGAGTTTATTGGCAGAACACTGGGAAAAGCTGGCTCCGTCTCCTGCTCTGTGGTGGAACATGTATCTTCAAGATTGAAAATCTGGCATTTTTCACCCACACTAAATCAATACTATAAAGGGAAAAAAAAGGAAAAGGCTTGTTGATTTTTTTTTTAGCACTAATTATGTTAATGTGGTCTTTACTAATGTATGCAATGCTTCCCATGACTGTTAGCAGAGCTCTGCATACACAGTCCAAAACATGTTGAGCACGAATAGTTGTTCAGAGGGAAGTTTTGCAAGACAGGGTATTGTAAAGCTGAAACATCTGTTTCTCCTGTTATAGCTAAATAGTGCAACAAGCTTTTGTTAAGAAAATAAACTTTCCCTTCATTTTACCAGTTTCTGCTAGCTATTTTCTATATGTAAATTTTGAATAAAAATAAGTGAATTATTGAAAAATCATCCTCAAATTTTCTCTATGAAAGATCTGATGAGGCCCACTAGCCGTATCAGTTTGTATTTGAAGCAGATGTCGTACGTAAGCGACACATAAAAAAGTACTAATATGCAGATAATATAAGAAAGTTATATATTATAACCTATTTTCGTTACTTTAAATAGTTGCTTTTAAATCTGCTTGGCTACATGAAGTCAAATGTATGCATTCACTTTATTTTTGGAAGACGCTATTTCCACTTTAGGTGAAACTAGTACATGAAGCTGCATTAAAATAGCTGTGAAGGATAATTATATAATTCCATTTATATGACACTTCTTCAGCTGGCAACAGAAGGTTTCATAAGCCATTCACAAATTTGATAAGCATTTTGTAGAAAACAATAATATCATATACACGCATTTTGGAGCTGCGTGTGCGTGAAGCGGTTTGCCGGCTGCTGAGGCAGAAACACAGCTGAGGTGGAGCAGAGCAGCTGCTGGTGAACACAGCTGTGGGACCTGACCCAACACCGTCAGGTCAAAACTGCACTTGAGGCAAAGTGGGTGATCTGTGTGATGAACCACGCGATGAGCCTGGATCACGGCATCTGCTGCTGCAGAAGCCCTGAACACGCCGTCCTGGCAGAGACACGCAGTCTGGTGACAGAGGGGGCCACGCCGTTGTCCATATTGGAGAACGAAGCGCTGCTCTTTGTGCCCCTTCACCCTCCCCCTCTGCTTCTGACAATCACACAAAGTGTAATTTACAGCACTATTTACATCTATTTACATTTACTAATTATATTCCATTGAAACTGCCAAGAAAAATTTGTCAGAAGAATGTAATTACTCTAAGCTGGAATTTGGCCAGCAGTGAGATTAGTTCCCTTCCATTTTGCAAAGAAGCACTGTGGGATCTTCCAGAGCTGACTGCTTCAGGTGGCAGCTGGGGACACGGCCGAGCCCCTGCGGTCCCGCTCGAGGCCTGCCGAGGGCTTGGTACATGCAGGTGGGCACTGTGGAGGCCGCCAAGGGCTCTCTGGAGCTCCAGGTTACTCGGAGTCTGGGCTTTGGTGTCCATGCCAGGCCTCCTCTGGAGGTGGGACAGTCTGGTGGCCAGTGGCTAGGGCAGGCTGGAACAGGGCTGCTGGATCCAGGGCTGCACCCTGGGGCTTCAGTTGCTCCTTGCAGCTGAAGGTGGGGTGTCCTGTTTAGGATCCATGCTTTAATTGAAGGGTTGGCGCAGGCAGAATCTCTCCTATGCGTGGCATAGGTGGAAAATGGGGTGCTGCTCTGACTCAGCAAGCCAGAGCTGCCCCACTGCCACCCCCCTATTTTGAGGTTGCAGCACAGGGGTCACTCTGAGGAGGGAAGTACTCTAGGGGTAGTTTTTGTAACCTCTGCTTTGCTCCAGATCCCAGTTTGGATCAAGATGGAGTAACAACTACGCATGCTGGCATCATTTAGGGTGAATTTCTAATTTTCATCCCATCTGGTCCTGTAAATACATAGGACAGTTGTTCTGCTTAAGATCTTCTCATTAGCTTCTACTTGACCTCTAGGTTTGCACATGCCAGTGCTGTGTGCACAGAAGCCCTGCCTTAGCACACTCACAATCAGGAGATCAGGCATCTGCATATCTGGCTTAGGCACAGATGTATCCTCTGGAAGGGCAAACAGAGGTGCTCGGGCATGCAATATTCAAATGAAAATTTGGAATCACTTTTCACAATGGTGCCCCTAGTAATCGCAGCAAGTCCGTGCTCT